GTAATGTCAATCAACATCTCCAGTTACCTTGATCTATCCACTATTCTTCTCCCCGTCCTTTCCTCTATCACTCCTATCTGATCTTGCTCCAAATCTTCTGTAACCCCTTGCGTCCTAGTGACTTCCCGCTTGGGTGAAACGCTTAAATAAAAAAATTACTCCATTTTCGGTCTAACCTGGCTGTTGTAAAGGTAGTGGATAACTGGAGCTATCAAGTCTGGAGCGGTGATTCGAACTAGTATCTTTATCTTTGTTGTTGATATCACAAGGATTCGACCTTTCATTTCCTCTACGATTCGTGAATTTGGTGGCATTGTGATTTCAATTCCTAGACCCGGTAGTACAGACTTGGACTTAGTGAAAACTGGGCGAGCAATAAATGAACTGTACTAAATAAGAGCAAGACGAAACATCTCTAGACATGGACAGCAGAGAAATATCAATCTGCCTCGTGTAGGATTGAGTTCAGAATTTCCTGAAGCTTATCCGTGTCGAAAGATACCTGAAGAAAGGCAAGAGCCCACAACGACCGAATCATTGTGATAACAACAACAAAGACGAGGAGATTAGTTCCAATGTAAATAATTGTAACGCATTCCAGAGATTCAGACAGAAATGTATGTTAATGAATATAGGTATTATTAAACACAATGGTTAGAAAACACGAATGAGATAAAAGTTAAAAAATGAATTACCAAAATATTGAGAAGTTGAATAATCATAACCAAGATAGTGTAAAGTGAGATTAAAATGAATTATGATCTCATAAATTGAGTTGATTGTGTCTTAACAAGGATTTAATCACAATATATAATAATGAACTAATGTCTGCGTTCACACGAACTGTGATACAACTAGAAAGAGACGACTGAAATGCGATAAAGTCGGGTTCAGCATTCGGAAACTATCGCTGATTGTTTTTTTTTCTTCTTTTTTTTTCTTAGTATAATCGCTTGAATACGTCAAAGGTGTTGCGTTTTAGATAATAAAATTATTTTTTTTTCCTCAAAGCTTCTTTTCTTTGCAGCTTTTTTCTCGACTTTTCCTTTCATTTTTCTTTTCTTTTTCTTCTTATTTTCCAATCAGTTATCGATTTCTCTTTCACTTTCTCTCAAACTGCCATTGTATTTGTATTTCTTCACGCTAGTTATCTTGATTAGTTTTATTGCATTCTCCCCCTCTTTTTTTTCTCTCTGTGTTTCTGCTTTATTTTATTTCTTTACGTTATTCTGAGTAGATAATACTTGTTGAGGATGGAACTTTTAATCAAAAATCTTTTATATAGATTATTATTATATCATTTGTTTATGTTATTTTTCCTGCATTGTATCCTGTAGATCCGGGTCCAAACAATGTTCCTTAGATCCTAGTAGGGTGATCTTCTGGGCAATTTGTATGTTGAAATTACCCGGGACACTGTTAGTAAAATTGTCCATTCCTTTTCTCACGAGGCCCAGAGCTCCGATTACTACTGGTACAGTCTCAGTCTTCATTCCCCACATCCTGTTAATCTCGATTTCCAGGTCCTTTGTATTTGGACAATTTCTCGATAATTTTCATGGAGGTGTTTCTCTTAGATGGTTCTACTATGTCAATAAGCATACACTTCCTGAATTTCTTTTCTTCTATGATAATATCAGGTCTTTTGGCTTTTATTTCCCTTTCAGTTTGAATTGGCATGTCCCAGAGGATAGTTACATCGTTATTTTGGGTAACTGTGTCTGGTTGGTGCTCATACCATCTCTCAGTGGTTTTGATTATGTGCTTATGTGCTTCTTGCATATGTTTCAGTGCATGTATATCGCTACCTTGTCATGTCTGTGGGCATATTCATTTTTTGTTAGTTCCTGACGTCCTGAGATAATATATTCGACAGTTTCATCAGAACACAAGATTCTGCGGAAACATGTGAACTTGTTGGGATGCTGTTACTAAGTAGACTCAGATTTATTTCTGAATTAAAAAAAAACTCGGTATATACAGAGACGATGGTATAATCCTCGTTCGTAAACTGTGTCCAAGACAAGCAGACCAGATGAGAAAGGACCTAACCAAATTCATTAAGACCATAAACTAATATTATCACGAATACTAACTCTAAAGTGGTCAATTTCCTAGACGTTACATTTGAGCTGAGTAAGGGTATGTAGAAAAGCATGCAACCACAAGTACGTCGACAGAAGATCCAACCGTTATAAAAAGATCCTTGACAATTTGCCCAAATCAGTACGATATAAATTATCGACCAACTCCAGTAACAAAGGAGCGTTCGACGATAATAAATCTAGACGTAGCAATGCGCTAGAACGCAGTAACCATAATGTGAAATTGGAGTATGCAATAAGAAACAACTACAAAGATAAAAGATAAGCTAAAATAACGCAAACGTAACATAACTCTCTAGAGCACAGTAATGTCAAAACCAATCTAGGTAGAATTTGGTCATCGTTCTCCAAATTTTTTCAATAAAAATAAATTTAAAGTAAGCTATAGCTGTACAAAAACATAGCTAATTACATATACCAACGTAACAATAATATACTAAGCAAGCTCTCAAACAAAACGCTAAAAAATGATCCTACTAAAAGTCAAAGTAACTACCGTAAAAACGTAACTTGACCATTAAACGGCCAGTGCATGACTGAAGGCATTATATACAGAGCTAGCATCAACTCAGACGATGATGTTAATATTACTTTGGATTCACCAAGAACAGCTAGAAATCGCATTTTTACTACCCTAAAATGACACTGAGCAATATAAAATGCAAAAACAACGCTTTCAAAGTATGTTTGGCGGTTAAAAAACAAGTATAAAACCCAACACTTAACTGGAAAATAATCGCGAAAGCTAAGGCATACAATGTAAAGGGAGACAGATGTAACTTGTGTTCGTTGGAGAAGCTTATTATATTAAAACACTTAAATAGCCCTAATGTTCGAATTAATGTTTACATGTATCCATAAACCCAAGCATCTGCTCAAATAGACCGACCCCGATTAAAAGAAATTGCAAAATAGATTTTACGAATATTAATATAATAAACAACAACTTTTAATAATCTTAGAACTCATCATTAATAGCATTACTTATATATCTATACACACATACAATCCAATATTACTGTACCCGATTAATTTATAACATATGTGTATAATTTCACCTTTATAAGTACATTAGATATATAGTCCTGACTTATCATTTATTTGTTTTATATTTTGGACCCTTATATTTTATTTCTAACCTGCGTTCTAGTTTAAGCTAATCGGTATAATTAGGGTATCTTATGTTAAAAAACGAGAGTTATGCCACTTGATATATTGCTTACTTTTGGATCCAAAATTCAAATTTAAATGATTTGAAAAAATAGTTTTTTTTATTTTCTTAATTCTTCGCCTTTCGAACTTATGAATTTAAATGATATAAATTATTAATAGCCAATTTAATATTTCGCCCAACAATAATTAAATAAACAAGTTTTAAAATGCAATTTTGAATCATCACCACGAGAACGCGTATTTGTCAAAAAATAAATACGTCTAAATTCACCCATGGCCTAGGGGTAAAATCTCCGATGATACTAAATCAGTCGTGTTTTGATCCCGGCTTGAATCAATCGGATGTCTAGCCACACTGATAAGTTATGAAACAGCGAAACAGTCTGTCTGTGGATGACAATATAAATACATACTCCTGAAAAAAATTATCTCGGTTGAGCTCTTCGAGGAGAAAAGTGAATTTTTAAACAGTGACTATTACTGCTACTGATGCAAGACACTTTCTTAAGAGGAACCGAGTTCTCCGGTCGCTGGCGATTTTATCTAAAAATAAATACGTCTAAATTCACTTTAACCAATGGCTTCGGGGTAAAATCTCCGACTGATATCAAACTAGCCGGGTTTCAGGCACGGCTTGAGGCAATCGGCTGTCTCGCCGCACTGATTCGCTGCGAAACAGTCTGTCTGTAGATGGCAATATATACGAACATGTTTTTAGTAAACTCAACCGACAAAGTTTGTGTGTATTATTTTTATTGTATTTTTACCGATTTTTGAATATGGTCTTCATATCAGGATCGGAAGTGTGGATAAATCGTTTGCAGTTCATGCTTGTCTTGTTGCTTTTGTTCCAGTCCTCTTGATTGTTTCAGTTATTATCAAGAACCATGTACTGTTAGCGAAGATTCGTATATTATTTTCGGCTAACAGCTTAGGATTTTCGAGAGTTTCGACATCTACTTAAACATGTGTATCCCCTAAATATGACCTATATCAGGTGTGTCAGGCCCTCAAAGATTTTTCTATAGCCGTGGTATATCGAAAATTTTTGAAGTAGGGGGTACCCGGATTTTTTATCATACCTTCCTCAGATATTTAAGACCTTTACTAGTCTTCTTTTATTGTAAGGCCCAAGGGACCCTCAAAGGCTCCTCAAGGTAAAGGGTTACCTTGTGGAGTTGTATTAGCGTTAAAAAAAAAAAAGGCATTATAACAAGATTGCTAATTCTAGACTTGAAATGGTCAAGATTTAATTAGCGAATAAAATTTCAGATTTCAGACGGAGACGTTAGGAGTAGGAAGTTGACTTTAGAAGGAACCGGAAACTGAATCCTAATCAGGAAACAAGGGATAAATCTCTACTACTGTTCAAAAGAACGAGGAGGAGAGGGAAGCGAACAATAGGCAAACCTACCGACTCCTATTGGGAGAGGAAAAAATAGTAATTATTAGTGAATAAAATTATCAGATTTCAGGCGGTGGGGGCCAGAATCATAGATTTGAAAAAAAACTGGAAACCAAATCCTAAACAGGAGACAAGAGATAAACTCCTACCCCTGCACAAAAAACCAGGGAGGTGTATGAATTGGCCAATAGGCGAACATATCTTGGAGCTAAAGTAAAAACCAGTGTTTTGTATTCTGGTTTTCAAGGTGGGAAGGTTTTCGGCATTACATAATCTTTATCATCCTATTTGGCTGTGTTTTATTTTAAGTTTATTAGCCTTCTTCTTCTTCTTCTTCTTCTTCTTCTTCTTCTTCTTCTTCTTCTTCTTCTTCTTCTTCTTCTTCTTCTTCTACTACTACTACTACTACTACTACTACTATGGAGGCACGGTTGAGTAATGGATAGCGGCTTGGATTGAGGAATCGGACAGCCGAGTTCGAATTCCAGTCGAATCCATTACATTCACTTACGTGCTAACACCCTTGGGAAAGGTGTGAATCATCTTTCTTCTCCCTCCAGCTATGGGTAAATAGCAGGACAGACTGGGTTCTATAGCCTTGGATGGCAACTGGTCTAGAAGAAGGAAAACTCTGAATTCAAACCTGCTCTTAGAGGAGGGTGAATGGAGTCTCTCTGAGCCTTGGTTGGCAATCCATTTAGTGTTGGTGTCACGATAAAAACACCCTTGATAGCCCTAGCGAAGCATCAAGAATTCGGCTATTTGACAAGATTATGAACTACACCAATCAAAAAGTATTGGTGAGTTCAATCTCGGCTGAGGCCGCAAGATGATGATGACGACTACTACTACATTGTTGTTGTTCTTCTTCTTCTTCTACATTGTTGTTGTTCCCTTTTCTTGAACATAATCTTTCTAATTCTTTCTTCCACCTCCCCAACTAAGGCTATCCTTTTCATTTTCCCCTTCTTCGATCATTTCTCTTCCCCTTCAGATTTTTTTCTTTTTCTTCCTTTATTTTCTATCTTTCATCTCTTTCGCCATTATTTCATCCCCCCACCATCCTCCTTCTTCATTTTCCTTCCTTTTCAGCATTTGTCTCCCCCTCCGACGCTTCTCTCTTTCTACAGATTGCGATGGATAAATTGTCGTCTAAATTACGCAAAAAAAAAAAAAAAAACAAATGACACTGACATCTTATTTTAACAGATATATTTACCAAAATTACACAAAAAATATCTTGAAATACGAGAGAGTAAATTTATTCAATAAAATCGCCATTTTCTTCAACCATGACTTCCAGATGATTTCGAAATCTCCTGCAACTCTTCTGGACGGTCTCCTTGTATAAGTTGGTGAATGCTGCCATAATCTTTGCCTTCTGTTCATTTTTGTGTTACAAGGAGATTAGTTGATCCCTCGCTCAACTGTTCATCCACACATAATAATCAAGGTGGTTGCAGTCTGGGAAGTTAGGTGGCCAGATGTGGTTGCAGAAATTGTCTGTCAGCCATGGTTGGGCTCTAATGTTTATGTGGCAGGATGCAGAATCCTGTTGCCAAACATAGGATCTTCCAGCAGCCACCCTCTCGACCCAGGGCAGCGCTACCTCTTCAAGGTATTTGATGTAGGCCTCCGTGTTGAGTCCGAGTCCTTCACCAACAAAATCAGGAGTTCTTTTCTTATAAGAACGATCAGAGTGAATTTTTCGAGGTGTCGTACATTTGTAATCCCCATTAGACTCATCCAATCCTTTCAGAGTCCTCTGCACTGTCCTCAGATTGACACCCAAACACTGTGATACGCTCGTGTCAGAGCTTCCGGTGTGAATACCAAGCAGTACAGCATACCGTTTCTGTTATATCTCGTACAAGATATAATAAAACCCGAGTGTGGTTTTCAATAATAATTTTATAATCGGATGTAGGTATGTCAAAATACAGAGACAGAGTCAGGAGTAAGCTAACCGCAATGGTGTTAGTAAACGAAGACCTTCTTTTTGTCGCTCTCCTTACTGTTTCCTGTGGTCGTACTTTATCGGCCACCAGACCGTCCATTATCGTGAATGGGGAAGTTGGGTTATCTCATCACAACAGTTTCCAAATTTCTGTTGGAGTGAATTGCGTCACGGTGCTCTTTTACTCACAGACGATGCCCAACTTACCCTACTATACTCTGCAGTCGACAAAATAAAAAAAAACAAACAAGGCGCATGCGCGAGATTAAAAATATAAAATGGCGTAAATTTACCCATTGCATCCAATATATCCTTCTTTATATGTTTATCTCTCTTCGTCGGTCCAAAACTTACAACTTCTTCCCTCGAACCATTTTCAATATTGTTTTCGCTTCTTCTTCAGACTTTTCTAGTCTAACTTTATTTTTTTATCGTTTTGTCTCAATTTTTCATACTGTCTTTATTTTCGTTAATGATTTTAATATATCTTCTTGGCGCTAATTGGTTCCGATAGTCTACATTTCTTTTTTTTCCTCTTAATACTCCTCGATTTAATATTGCTTCGTCATATCCTCTCTCTGTATTAGTCTCTCTCTCTCTTTCACACACACGCACGCAAACAACCCACCACACACACAGAGACATTTATCTTTCTGCTTCTTCTTTCCTGCTCAAAACATCTTTTTCTCTTTTGATTTTTTTCATCTTCCCATCCATCTCAGCTTTCGTTCCTTTTTTTGTTCGCACTGTACAAGTTTTCTCTTTCTATATCACTCAAACACTTGTTCAATTCATCTTTCTCTTTTTCTTCTTTTATTTCGTTTCAAAACGTTTTTTGCAGGCCCACTTCTTCCTTTTCAATAACTTTCGACCGTCATTTTCTTTTCCTTAAACTTTTTTCCCTCTCTCTTTTGCTGTCCTTTTCCTCAACACTCCTTTCTCTTTATCCATTTTCTTTTTCCCTTCTGAATATCTTCTTATTCCATGTTTATTTTCCAATCTCACTTATTCATTTTAGGATACCTTTCGTCTCTTTTTTTTTCTTTCGTTCATTTTTTCTTCACTTTCTCTATTACAGCATTTCTTCTCAAATCATCTCTCTCTCTCTCTCTCTCTCTCTCTCTCTCTCTCTCTCTCTTTTCTTCTTGCCTACCCTTTCGTTACAACTTCTATATTTATATTTCGCCCTATCCCGTTCGCCTATCTTCTTATTTCTCGAAGCTTCTTAATTTCCGTATTTTTTCCCTCTCTTCTTCCTTTCCTCTCCTCTCCTCCTACCATTCCTCACCAGATCTCTACTTTTCTTTTCCTTTTTTTTTTTCGTCTAACTTCCGCATTTTTTTTTTTTTTTTTTTTTTTCCATTTGTTTTGATCTTCTCATCATTTTCTTCCTGAGAAGCAGCTATCACCTCGTCTCCATGTGCCGCGTGTTCGTGTGTCTACTCTGTTCCGTTTTGGTTAGTTTCAAAGAAGTATTAATCAGCGCAAGTAGACAGCCTGTCGCTGGCACATCACAATGCCGCCGCATTGTCACTGGTGTTTTTAACAATGCGAGGCGTTGAATCTAATTGCCTTGAACAGCACCTGCCACGGACATCTCTGCCGCGTTGTCCCTCAATAAATCTCATTGTGCTGATGACCTGCTTCTTTCAGTGATTGCGTACGGGCAACATCTGCAGACTACAGCGACATTGTCCATTGGCTGTGTCACAAACACTGCGCGTTCCAACACCGCCATTTTCCATAGCAATGTAAAGACGTGGAAATGATACCAAAAAAAAAAAAATTACGGAAGTATAAGATGAGGAAGAGGAAGAACCAAAATGGCAAAGAGAAAAAAAATGAAGAGGAAAAATATGAGAGAGATGTGTAAAGAAAAGCAAGAAAGGTGACGAGATTGAGAGAGGAAAAAGATCCGTAATGAGAAACAAGGAAAGAATGGACGGTCAACAGGAATGAAAGGAAAAAGGAATAAGAAAAGCGACAGAATAAAAAGAAGAGAAAAAAGGGGGAAAGAAAGAAAATGATACAAGAACGAGGATAGAAAAGAAAAAGCGGAGAAGGAAATAAAAAAAAGAGAGAGAGAAGCAGATAGAGAGAGCGAAAAGAATGAAGAAAAAAATTCAGAGAAAGATAACGATAGCGAAAAGAGTGACGAGAAAGAATAATGATGAGTAATATACAATGAGAACAAGGGGAAAGAAGAAAATGAGAAAAGAACCAGATAAAGAAATAGAGGAGAAAAAAGAACGAAAAGAAAGGCGAAAGATGAAAATGAAATAAGGCGGAGAGAGAGAGAGCAGAAGGAAAGTGAAAGAGAAATAATAGATGTGAAAGAGGAGGAAAAAGAAAAAAAAAGAGAAAAAATGGAAGGAAGAAGAAAGAAAAAGATAAGGAAATTGAGAAGAAGAAAGGAAGACGGGAAAAGATTAGCGAATGAGAAAGACAAAATGAAAAGAAAGAAAAGAATAACTAGAAACTGAAATCGAAATAGAAAATACGGAAAAGAAAATAATGAAATGTGAAGGGATTTTAGAAGATGAGCAAGATGAAAAGGGGGAAAGATACGAAAGAAGAGAGAGCTGGAAAAGGAAGCGGAAGAAAAGGGAAAAGAAGAGAAAGGAAAAGAAAAGACAGGTATGAGACAAGGAAAAGGTGAAGAACAAATGAGAGAGGAGGAATATGAAAAAGAAAAAAAAGAAGAAGAAAAGGAAGGAATTGCTCAATAGAAGCGAAAAAGAAGAGGAGAAAGTTAAAGATAAGCAAGAAGCCTTGGGGAATTTGCAACAGAAGAGAGAATAAAACAATAAAACCAATGCAAAACAATAAGTGATTGAATAACAAGTCAAGATGCGTTCAGGATGTCAAGATGGACGACTACTACATGCCAGGATGAACCTAATTCACCTCAGAATTAATAGACAAATATATGATTCCAGAAGAGGATATGGGAGCATTATCGCTTTACAACGTGTGTTCTTTCCATCTTCCCAATTGTTTTATTAATTTCTAACATTTTATGACATGAGGAAAAAAATATCCTTTTTTTTCTTCAGAAAGAAAGACGAAAACGTAAATAGCTACTGAAGCAGATATTTGTTGAACTTAGCGAAATCCTGTTCTGAAATCAATCAATTAATTATCTGTCTATATTTCTGAGATGAGGTATTAGGTATACTATTTACATTATTCGGACTATTGTCCTCATCTTTGTCGCCATATTTATTACATCGTTTTGGACCGTTGTATGCTTCGGCCTTCTTCAGGTGGTCGTACCAGTTTCTGGTAGGAATTTTTCAATTTGTCTCCATATTATCGGTGTATCGGGTCCGTACCGATCCTTCAGTATCTGTCTATATTTCTGAGATGAAGTATTATGTACACTATTTACATTATTCTGACTATTGTCGTCATCTTCTATATTTATTTACAACGTTTCTGTAGAACGACATTTCTGTTACCTCAAATCTCTTCTTCATCTGTGAGGAGATTGTCCAGCATTCACTGCCATATAGGAGGACTGATATTACATAAGAGTCCAGAACTCTTTTTTTTTTTTTTTTGTTTCTAATGAAATTTTCTTGATTCTTAACAATTTGCTTAACTTTTGGAAGGCATGTTTCTCTATCCCAATGTACCATCGGATTTCGGTGTCGAACATTTCCTAGTTAATTACATTTTCGCACTTGTTTAACTATGGTATCTCCAGTTTATAATGCGCATTTTAAGCTTGTTCTTTTGGGGGGGGGGGCTGACAACCATACATTCTGTCAGTTGATGTTTATTTCTTTACTTGATGTTTATTTCGCTTACTTTTACTACCTTCTGTAAGAATACCTGTTGTTTCCGTTCTATGTCTGCTATTAACAGTGTGCCATCTGCATATCCGATGTTAAGATTATCTCCACCAATAATGAATTATAATAGAACTTCTAATCTATCAGAATTATTTCACTGTAAACGTTGAATAAATCCGACGAGAAGACATATCCTTGTTTAACGCACGTTCTACTTTTGTCTAATTAATGAATTCATTTTTTTATCCTCAAGCAGGTGGTATGTCTCTAGTATAATTTCAGTATAAGTCTAATATTCTTACCGAATAAATCCTGCTTACCTAGCAGTTCAAACAGGTTCTTTGTGATGCACCTTGTCAAACCGTTTTGCATAATATATTAGGTTGGTGCAAAAATAATGTCGTTTTTGACGTTAAGTTAGACGTCAAAAAAACGACATTATTTTTGCACCAACCTAATACAAAACGCAGGTACGCCTCCTTCTGCATTTTTATTGCTCTTTCTGATGTGACTTGAGCATAAAAATTACATTCCTTGTTCCGGTGTCTTTAGCTAAACTGATCTGCTCTTGTCATATTTCCGGTGTAATTCTTCTACGCTCTCTATTCGTCAGATTTTAGATAACTTTTGTTTTGGCTGAACGGCTGATGGAGTTCGCATTCGTTTACAACCTTGCCTTCTTAGGCAGCGCTTCGAAAAATGGACACCGCATTAATTAATACCAAGTTGCACCATGAAGATAGGCTCTATATCATTCTTCCAGAGAAGGCAGTGTGATCCCTTCTTTATATATATAGCCTGCCAAAATAACATTTTTCCCCTTTGGGGTAGAGTGTTCCTGTGTTCTTTGGATCTGTCTTTCACGATTCCATAAGTTTATGCCAATTTGTATTCCTTCTCAGAGCTGTATTGGGTGTTAAATATGCGGTTTTTTCTTTGTCTCTCTCGTGAGGAATCTAGTGAAGCCGAGAAGAGTAATTACCCAGTGGATACCACCTTGATATCATACTCACAAATTATTCATTAGTTGATTTCTCTGGGACTTTCTTTACAATTCACTGTGATTTATCACAAATTTATCACAAAATCGTTATATATATATATATATATATATATATATATATATATCGTTTATATATATATATATATGTGTGTGTGTGTGTGTGTTTCGTTAACAGATAATACGAATACATAAATACATACACGGAATACATATGCACACACACATATATATATATATATATATAGTGATTTTCTAAGCCAGGCTTAGATGTAGCACAAGGCCAAAGTATGGGGCATCCAGTAAGGCTAGAACTCACTACAAGCTTTCTAACCATTACACCACGTGGAGGTGCCCCCATATATATATATATATATATATATATATATATATAAAAATAAAAGAAAAAACAGACCACTTTAAGGTACCATTGTAATAATTTATTTCACCAGAGCCCTTTTAAAGGACGCCGGATCATCAGATAGCACTTCCAAATGATGAAACGAAACGAAAAATTAAATTAAAATTCATGGGTAGTGTAAGTTTTTGTAATTTAACAGAGAGTGTGAAGGTGATAGTTAAATGGACATGGTAGAGTATAGGGAGGGATTAATTTCATATCACTCTCAAGTATACTTTTTATTGGGGGAGGAGGGATGACAAGACCTTGACCTATTTAGACGGTTAACTTAACGGAAGTGATATATTGAAATGGGAGGTGAGTAGTGAGAAAAGAAAAAGGAAAAAGAAAGAAGAGGGCGAGGGAGAGGGAAGTAAAGGGAAAGAGGCTGTAATATATATATATATATATATATATATATATATATATCGAATTCCAGTACTGTTCTGTGATTTTACTGCAGTGCAGTACCTTTATTGAACTGTTAGGTAGGAGGGTTGTTCAAAAAGTTCTAAGCCTCACCCAGAAGAAATTGCAGAAACAAGACTGTTTTTCACTATTTTTCAATATAGTCCCTCTTGACAACAATGCACCTGCTCGAAAGGTGCATTGTTGTCAAGCATCTTAATCCCATCACGGGAGAAGATGGCGTCCACGTCCCCCGCCTAACCAAATTCCTCCATAGCACATATGATCTCATCATTGTTTCCAAAATGGCAACTATGTAGGTGGAATTTGAGTTTAGGAAACAGAAAGAAGTCAGATGGAGCTAAGCCTGGTGCGTAAGGCGGGTGAGGAAGGCGGGTGAAGAAGTAATTCAAAGCCACAATTGGCTAATCCAGCTACTGCAACCTGAGCTGTGTGGATGAGAGTGTTATCCTGAAACAAGAGCACAACTGCCCACAACGTCTCTCTGCATTTTCACTTGATTGCTTCCTTCCGTTTTCTTAATTCTCATGCATAGTACTGTCCAATAATAGTCCCCCCCTATTCAAGGTAGTTTATCGTCATTACGCTTTCAGAATCCCCCCTAACAAAAAAAAGCGATATACCTTGCCAACAGAGGTGGAGAACCAAACTGTTTCTAGTGAAATAGAATCTACTAGCCAGTTGTAACCTAAGTGAAAGTTATTTGTGGCACAAGGCCGAAAGAATGTAGTACAAATCTGTAAGGCTTGTCAGAAATAATATATTGGAGAAACCTCAAAAAATTTTATTAAAATATATTATGAACACAAAGAGACATTAAACAAAACAACACATTAAATTCATTAGTTGCTCACCATAACGAGATTGGCAACAATTTTGGCATAAAAATATTCCTCTCTAATTAAATAGAAAACAATTCACTTAGATGAAAATGTTTAGAAAATGCTTTAATCGCTAGTTCAGCCACAGTAAATAATCAGGCCGGTAAATGTTGTTAATACTGTTTATTATAAAAAGAGTATTTAGTTAAATATTTGTGTCTATATAAATAACGTATAGCAATAAAATATATTAAAATAATTGTCGGACTTTGCCCCTCTCGTAGTGTGTGAGATCATTTGTTTACGTTAAGATACGCTTCGAGCAGATATGAACGTTCGAGGGAAATCCTAGAAGATTGTAGTTTAAAAGCAGTAAAATCGACCTTGCTAACCAGACGCTTCTACGTAGCTAAATTGGTATAGCACGTCCGGCTATATGACGCTTCGGTGTAGAATACAGGTTGGACACATATTTACTATGAAAATTTCTCGGACGTTCAGGCCGGTAAATGTTGTTAAAACTGTTTATTATAAACAGAGCGTTTACTTAAATATTTATGTCTATATAAATAACGTATAACAATATATATATATATATATATATATATATATATATATATATATATATATATATATATATATATATTTGTATGTGTCTATGGATATGTATGTGTGCATATGTATGTGTGTGTGTATGTGTGTATATGTATATGTGTATATATATATATATATACATGTGTTTGTATATGCGTATAGATGGGTATATGCATGTGTGCATGTGTATGTATGTATATGTATGAGAAAAGTGTGTATATATGGATATACATGAATATGTGTATGTGTAAATATGTGAATATATTTTTATATGTGTGTACATGGGTATATATATGTGTGTATGTGGGTACACGCCTATGTGTATATACGTGTATATGTTATTGTGTATGTGTGTATTCGCATGTGTTTTTGAAAAAATATAAAAATATAGGTCCTTGCTGGATTAGATAATCGTTATATTTATTTTTTATATGTTTATATTTGATTTGTAACCTGTAGGCGATATTAAATTTGTCAAATTTTCTCAATTACAAAGCGGCCCTTTAAGTAAACGCAATTTCACTTTCCTTCGCCCCATCTGTCTCCCCCACCTCATCTTTCCCTCCCTCTTATTCTAACATTAAATTGTCTATGGTGTGTGTATGTCACCACGAAATGTATCTTTATACATCTGACAACATTTTTTTCTCTTACGTAAACCCCCTTCCACCCACCTCCCCTAATATTCTCTCTGTTAAGGTTTAATCTCCCTCCTCCTCATACTTACACTCTCTCTAAATTCTGTTTTTATTTCCGGAGTTGGTTTTTCTTCTGTTTTCCTTTTGAATTTGTTGGTCTGATGAATTGGATCGTATTTACGATTCCAATGGAATAAATTATGACCATGGAATATTAGTGTTTAAGCCTTTTTATTATATCCTTACTCTGTCCTAGACATTGAGTTCTACCTGGATTCTTCCTCTTGGAATTTTTTATTCTAAAATATACATGTATGGTATTCATATATTTGCATACGTATGTATATTTACCACTAATATTATCTATCTATCTATCTATCTATCTATCTATCTATATATATATATATATATATATATATACAGTCAAATCCGCTGATGTCATTATCACCCAGTTTCTGTGCCTAAACAGTGTCAAGTCTAATTTGTATTTAGATACTGTAAGGAAAGCGAGAAGAAAGATTTAAACATCAACTGAAACAAGACAGAATACACGATTGCTAGCAAAAGTGCGCATTGCAAATCGAGGATGCCAAAATCAAACAAGTTCCAGATTTTAAATATCTGGAAAGTGTTTTAAAAGAGGACGGAAAGATGACACTGAAATCTGAAGGAGCTTTGTGATAGCCGAAGATGCCTTCCAAAAGCTAAGTAGAATATTAAGAAATAGAAAAACTTCGCTCGAAACAAGGATAAGAGTACGAGAATGTTACGTGATAGCTTTCCTCCTTGTATGGCAGTGAGTACTGGACAAAAGATGAAGGAGAATTTTGAAGCGACAGAAATGTAGTTCTACAGAAGGATACTGAGGATATCACGGACCGAACATGTAAGCAACGACGAAGTTTTAGCGAAAATGAAAAACAAACAAGACACTTAAACTTAAGCTCAGCAAGAAACAGTTGAGTTTTCCCCGACATATACTGAGGAAAGAGGGCTTGTAGAATCTGATACTCACAAGACAGATATAGAGCAAGAGGGACAGAGGAAAACAATGCATAACATACTTAGCGACCTTGACTATATTGATGGTGGAAGAGGGTTTAGGAGAAATATAAGAAACTGTCCATATTTCTGGTATTGTGTACACTATTTACATTGTACGGACTATCGTCCTCATTTTTGTTGCCATATTTATCACAATGTTTCGGCCTTTGTACGCTCCGACCTTCTTCAGGTGGTTGGAATGTCGAACTGAACCCTTGATTTCGCTTGTTGGTGTAGACTGTTCTAGTTCCACGTGCCATGTCTAATGGATGTCAGTTATCAGTTATCTCCTGTTAATTCCCCTCTCCAAGTTCTCCGCCGTGTGTGTTCAATACTTGATTAAGGCATTAGACATGGCACGTGGAACTAGAACAGTCTACCCTAGCGAACAAAATAAAGGGTTCAGTTCGACATTCCAATCACCTGAAAATGGCCGAAACGTTGTGGTAAATATGGCAACAAAGATGAGGATGATAGTCCGAACAATGTAAATAGTGTAAATTGCAGAAAGACAACATTTATTAAATGTTACAAGGGACAGGAAGTTGTGGAGAGCTATGATCGCCTACGGATTTCCTATTTACGGTCCCTCTACCTCCTTGTTCTGCCAACAATTTACACAAGCTTATTACTCTCCTCTGTCTCTCTCGCCTTCAATCTGTGATGAGGATGTCAAAATAATCATGGCGTCTTTCTTATTCAAAATATAAGCATCCGTCCTTTTTGTTTTCATTTACTTGAAAACTTAATTGTTATTCATATGTGTAGTTCTTAGTATTCCCAGCATCCTTCTGTAAAGCCATATTTCT